AGGCGGGGCGGGAATCGAGGCCCCCAGCGGAGGGGAGCCCCGGGAATCCTGCACCCGTCCCTTTGAGCCTTCGCTGGGTCTTCCTCCTCGTTCCTCCGGGTGGCCTGCGGCAAATGGCTTTGCCCGTCGGGGCCCTGATCTTTGCATTTGCAAAACAACTTCTTTGAGCTGTGAATTAAATGGGAAGGTCCCCGTTTGGTCCGTGCAACTGCCCAGCTCCAAGTGAGGGCCTGGTATTAGGGGAAGGCAGGAGGTCTGAGATGGGTAAAGTGGACCCACTGCCTACCCTGCTGTGCCTCTCTGGGAAAATCACTGTCTCTGATCTCCCCTTCCACATCTGCACAAAGCAGCTGATGACACCTGTTCACCGGGAGATGGGGTTTCTTGGGGGATGGAGTGAGAACATTTGGGAGGCTGGCTCAGCAGGGTGCCTGCACCTGGTGCGGGCTCCTCCCCAAGCTAGCAGGTCCTCTTCAGCTTCTCATTGCCCCACCTGGTATTTGCAGAGTGCCAGGCCATCCAGGACTTGCAGGGCTGCCAGAGGCGGACGGACAGCTCTGTGGCTTGGCCTAAGGTGGCAATGCACATTGTCACAGAAGGGCAGAGTGATTGTGGGGCTGAGGGGATGGCAGTGGGACAGACACAGGCAGGCCATGAAAGCTCTTTCTGACCTCTGACCTCTCCTGGGGTTCTGGCGCTGTCCCTTCCTCCAGATGTTGGTACCACGAGAAAAATCCAGGGGGAGGTGGGGGCTGGTGCCCCAAGAGCTGGGCTGTTAGGTGGCAGTCAGGGACACCAAGGCCATGGAGGCAGGGTACAAGAAAAGTGCTGCAGGAGGGAGACAGGGAGGTGAGTTGCCATGTCCCTGTTTACCGGGAGCCCACCACCCAGGACTCCTGCCAGAGGTTAAGTCTCCAGAATAACTCAAGTGCACAGTGTTGTACTTAGGTTTCCTGAAGTAACCATGGAGGAAACTGGGCACCATTCTAATCAGTTATCCTAAGGTGACCAGTGGGAGCAGATGGGTCACTGTCTTCAATCCGTCCTCAGAGGGATGAGAGGGCCTTTGCAGCTCAGCCTATGGGACAAGTGCCTAAGCAGTGGCTCGGTGCAGAGGACAGCTGGCCCTGTGTAGAGGGACATTCTGTGCAGGTGACATTTGACCCTGTGCCCTCCCTTTTCCAAATGTGGATCACAGATAAAGTACTTGGGTGTCACAGGGCAACAGAAGCTGGGTGCCTTCCCTGTCCTCAGATACCTACCCAGGCTTTTACACAAGAGAGAAGTGAGAATCTCCCTGTTTAAGCCCCTGTTGCTTTGGGGGTTTGGACCCTCCTGCCTGAACCCAGTGCTCACAGCCTTCCAGCCCAGTTAATTACCTGACTGCTCAATTACTATGCGTGAAACAGGCCAGTCCCCTGTTACACAACCATGGTGTGCCAAGGATTTCCTTGGGAGAACTTGGCACAATGTGTGATTAGATTGTCACTAACTGGTTAGTACCTACCTCCCCACCTTGAGTGGACACTGCAGAGGGAGGCAGGGTCTGTTTGCTGGCCATCGTAGCCCAGCGTCCAACCGGAGCCTGTTGTGAAGGGGACACAGCAATGCATGTTGAAGGGACGGGTCTTCCCCCAGAACAGGGGCCACCAGAGGGCCCACCCACAAGGGTCTCTGCAGGGACCCTTGAGGTCCAGAAGCAGACCAAGCTGTATATCCCAGATGGTCCACGCTCCCCGGAGATGGCAGGAGGTGGAGCCAAGAGGGAACGGTGTGTGGTGTGTGCACGGAAGCAGGCAGGGACGAGGATCTTTTTTGGTGGGGGTGAACTTCATAAGAGCTGAGCTGCAGGACTATCAATCCCGTGGGGCCCTGTGGTGGCCAGAGGTCCTCAGAGCATCCAGTGTCCTCATCCTGGCACTCCCAAGCCCTTGTGTCATCGCTTCCTACAATGAAGAGGGCTGACCTGTGAACCAACCTGCAGGATGCTGCAGAGGTGACAGGGTATGACTTCTAGGTCTCAAAAGACACTGAGCCTCCTGTGGAGCTCTTTGGCTTCTTCGTTCTGAGCCAGCCCAACGCCCTGTCCTGAGCATGCCTGAGCTTGGCTGTCACGGGGGTCTACGTGGCAAGGCTCCTGGACCCTGCCAGGGGCCTCGTGGGTGATAGGGCCCACAGCTTAGCCACAGCCTCCGGGGAACCCTGAGTCAGAACCACCCAGCCAGCTGCTCTGGGCTCCAGACCCATGGAATGACAAGAGAAATGCTCATGTCAAGCCACTAGGTCATGGGTCACTGGTCACATTTCTTTCTACTGGCATTTTCTTCCTACCTTCCTTTATCTCACCCCCAACTAGCTTGGGGACTTAGAGTCAGGAAACTCTCGAGCTGGTGAGCAGATAGGTTGCCAACCACCGGGCATCTGGGCGAGAAATGAAGAGGATAATGCTCTCTGCGGCAGGTGGCCTCTGAGGCGCCCGGTGACTCCACTTCCTGGCATTTGTACCCTAGCAGGACTCCTCCCTGGGAGTGGAGGCTGGACTTACTGACTGGCTTCTAATGAGCAGAGTATGGCAGGGGCATGGGCAGGCTGCTTCCAGAAGGAGGTTGCAAGGCTGTGACCTCTGTCCAAGACACTGCCCCTCACTGCCTCCAGGATCAGTGGCCCAGGAGCAGAGCATTGTCTTGGGGAAGCCACCCGAGTGAGCCCACGGTGGATCTTCCAAGCCCCCCACAGCTACTACCTTCAAATGAGCCTGGAGACGATCCCTGAACCCCAGTGGGCCCCAGGTAGCCGGTGGACAGTGTGCCTGCAGTCTCTGAGATGTTCTGACCCAGAGGAGGCGTCCAGCTCAGCCGGGCCTGGGTTCCTGTTTGCTGTTTTAAGCCCCTAAGCTTGGAGTGGTTGGCAGTGCAGCCAGACATAGCAGTACGGTGCCCGGAATGCCGGTCAGGAGGATGTGGTGCATGCGTCGTGCCTGGCGCAGAGTAGATGCCAATTAAACACTTGCTGAATGAACCAATCAAAAAATAAAAGAATGTCCTACAATGCAGAGTTTCCTGAATAATCCACAGGCTCACTCCTTTCCACCCAAATGTCACTGAAGGTTGTCTTCGGCAGGGGAATACCTGGGCCAGATTGGTTTTTCTGTGGTGGGAGACTGCTTTGTGGTTCATGGGTGGGGCTGGCTCAGCCATGGTCCTGATGAAGAGAGATCAAAAATAATAATCCTTTGTCTCAGAGAGGACTCGAGGGTGACTTAGGTCTGTAGCAATCAGGTCTCTGAATGTGTGACTTCTCACTCTGTTAAGGTCTCCGATCAAGCAGGAAACACTCGTGTTCACCACAATGACTACAATTATTCACTGAGCACAGCTCGGGGGCAGGTGCTGTGGAAGGAAACTGGCCTTGCTCTGAGTTCAAGAGCTCGGGAGGAGGTGAGTGACCTCTGAAGCAAAAACCAACAGCAGGGTTACCAATGTCTGCGGCAGTTTCATGTGGGAAGTTCAGTCTCATGGGAAGCATAGAAGTCTGGGGTCCCTAAAATTAGGTCCCTGATTCCAGCAATGGGGATGAATTGGTCTGAACTTTCTCAGCTGAGGGTGACAGATATCACCTCGAATCAATACACACTTTCCATAACAGGGAAAGCAGAGGAGAGGAGTAGATGTGGGTTTCAGGCATAGCTGAATCCAGGTCCTTCAACCATCACTCAGGAATCTGTCTCTCCCGGGCTCACCTTTTTTCTTCCAGCTACATCTAGAGGTGGGCTTTTACCCATGCTGGCAGAATATAGCTCCAGGCTGACGTTTTTTTCTACCCAGAAACCTCCACAGACAGATTTTATTTTTCCCAATTCTTCCTGCAAAGGCTCCTACTCTGACTGTCAAGGGTCTGGCCGAGGTCACACAGCCCTATATGGTGGCCTCAAGGGAATGGGCATACTGACTGGCCGGCCTAGGCTGACCATCAGCCCCCACAGCCTGGGGAAAAGCCAGCCCCATCCTACGCACACAGATGAGGAGCGGTTCCTAGAGCGGACTGCGGGCACTGTTGCCAGAAAAGGTGGAGAGGATACTGAGAGGCTGAGCTTAGGTGTTCTGGACAGGGGTCCAGGGCAGGATTCCAGGAAGAAGGAGAATCAGAGCCAAGACCAAGCAGGAAGGGAAGGGCACAGGCTGGGTGCATTAGCCCTCCAGAGTGTGACCAATCACCCAGCACTTATCACTTAAAAAGCGACATGGTATGTGAGAGTCGGGAATCTGGGAGCAACTCAGCCAGTGCTTCTGGCTAATGGGAGCTGCATTCCAAAGGCACCCAGCGATGGAGGATCCAGGCTCCCTCCCGGGGCTGCTGGCTGGAGGCTTCATTTCTCCCCTCGTGGACTTCTCCAAGACGATGCTGTGACAAGGATCTCCTCTCGTGTAAAGAGGGGGAGAGAGACTCCTAAAACAGTCTCCAAGGGGCTGTCCG